AATAACCAACTTACTTGATTAATTTCTTGAATAATATTCTGATCAAGTCCAGTGTTCGACACTGTGTCCTTAAGACAGATCCGTCCTCTCCACGGTGCTTTCAGAATACGGATGTCTATCTCCCAAGATAAAATGATCAATCAACGAATAAATGCAGCACTATAATTTATTCGTACAACGAACACACTAAGTGTATATACTCTTTCTCATAGAAAACTAATGCAGCAATATGAAGAGAATAATAGCATAATTATTTGGGACGAAAATAATGAATGAAACATCAAATGAGGGCTAGTCAATTTATAGATATAATGGCACCCTTATATTTTGAATTGAACAAGTAGCATACCTGTTTGAACGAGTATTGAACCTGTTGGGTTTGAACTAATACTGTTTGGACAGATAACCGAATCTGTTTGAATTTGAAAATTAAACAGATTTGAAATTTGTTCGGGTGGAACAGATTCGGTTTGGACATAATTTCTGAAGAGGTGCATTACAAAATTTGAATTTAATTTCCAACCAAAATTTTGAAATAAAAAAGGACAGATTTTATTTCAAAATAAATAAAATAAACTCAAATGTTTTTGGCCTAAAAATATTAGTATTGGGCCGGACAAGCCCAACCCTACCTCACACCACGCACACGCGCCCAGGCCAGCCTGCCTGACCAGACGGACAGCGACGGCAATGCGAGCGTGTGTGGTTATTTTTTGGGTCCAATGGGTCTAACTCATTTTGCCCATAACCTCCCTCTCTACAAAACTTGAGTACCCCTTGGGGCACACTCCAAGTTCCAATCCCATGCCTTATAAACCCACTCAAAACGTCCCACCAAATCAATGTAAGACAAGCTATTTTTCAAACCTTTAAGGATTTTCCACCAAAACTCCATTTCCATGGAGCACACTTTGGCTTCAATTTCCCATTCACTCGATAATGGTTTTGAACAACCAAATATACCACGTGAATCACAACACGGCATAGAACGCGTTACCACTTAGATCTGCCAATTTTGGCGTACGAGTCCCACCTAAATAATAGATCAAAGTTAGGAAAAAATTCTGTTTTTACCCAGAATTTCCGAACCATTTCTAACAATCTCCTACATGAATGGAATCTGATGACAACGGAAATGCAACAATATGCAGAATTTGTCGAAAAAGTATAAGTCGAAAATATCTTGCATCAGGATAGGTAGCTTTTGGCCATGAACCTTCCCTGGTGATAACCTATCGGACTTACTAGCTAACCAATAGACGCGATGCCTTGAATTGTTCAGCCGTTTGTGTAAGCCAAGACAATAGATTTCATACAAAATATCTTCTAACACATCGTGGTTCTCACTGTTGTGTTCATTTTGGCCTTGAACACTCCTGGTTTTCATTTTATTTATTGGTTTGATTTTTGTAATCAAACATTCTCTCTCCTTTCCTATTTTTCTTTTGTATTCGGTTTGTCATTTAGTACCCAAACAGAATTAATTTATTTAAGTACAGTGAAGATTATCCAACAATGACTAGATCAAGTGAAGAGGAATCAATGTGTTTCCAGAAGATTCTCCCACTTTCCACTTATTTCTACTCTATTCTAGCTCATTTTTTGAAAGATAAGAGATTTTGATGGAAATAAAAGCTTGAACATTGTAGAATGTTTGGATTTAACAAGTTTAAAAATCATTTTGAAACTAGTTTGAGGGGTCTAAAATCATTTTGGCAGAAATAGGTATAATGTAGGTATCCACTCTCATCCATAGGTCACACTGAAGATCATCGAAGCCACACGTCCTTGTTTTCATCATCAGAAGGCTAAAAGGAAGTGCCCATGTCTTGGCACAGTCAAAATGGGGTGTTTACAATTTCTAAGATCACCTAGAATTTGGAAGTATGCCTTTATAGAAAATATACAATGGTATTAGAAAAATGTAGGGATGGCAATGGAGGTCAATGGGGTGGTAATTAATTCCCCATCCCCATACCCCTATAATTATTTTCCCCCATTCCCTATTCCCCATCCCCCAAAGGTATTACCCTCCTCATCCCCTAATGGGTTTGGATTTTCCCCAACCCAACTTGACCTTTTTTTTTTTTTTTTTTTTTTAGGTTCATAACCAAAGCTAAATATACATTTAATTTAATTTTTTTGACTTAACAAAAAAATCAAATACACATTAATTAATTAATTAAGAAGATCGTTTTAAAGTAATCAAATATATAATTTTAAGACAATCAAATAAATTTTTAGTGATTGAAAAAAAAAAATTACATGTAATCAGACTCAAATTTCTTACAAATTTTTCAATCGAATTTCATTGACATTTATATTTACAACACACTAATTCGACTAAAAGCAAAAGAAATTTAAAAAAAAAAAAAACAAACAAACAAACAAACAAACTATTTGAGGAACTGCTTGAAATTGACCTAAAGAATTTTTCCATTGCAGTTGCTGAAGACTGCTTTAAACAACTATTTGCATCTCTGTTCAAAAAAAAAAAAACGACGACTATTTGCATCTGTTAACTTTGATGTCTTAGATGCTATTCAGAGATCAGCTTCAAATCCTTGGGTCTTTGGGACTTCTTATTCAAAAGAGGCTTGTATGCCAGACTTAAGTTTGGTTTTCATTGATGGGAGTAGACTGGAAAAGAATCTCTTGGAAAATTGGTGATGAAAGAAGAATCATGAAGGCATAGGCAATCAACGGTAACGCTTCTAAGTTCTCCCCCAAACCGATTCAAAATGCAATCTAGAGTCTCCACATCTAGAGAAAACGACTACCACCACCACCACATTGATGAAAATACAGTAAATAAAACTGATCGATTACTTACAGAGAGATCGAGCTCGGGAAGAGAAGAAAGGACTTGGTAGACAGAGGATCGAATGGTGTATGTGAGAATGAGAATGATTGAGAATGAGATCCCCAAACACAGATATGGGGAAATGGGCGGGTACCCATTCCCGACCCATATCCTATGAATATTTAAAAAACACTATTTAATTAACCCAATGGATAAACAAAAGTGGGGAAAATCCATATATGTGGATTGGGTCTCTATGAGTATCCATAGGGTAGGATCCCCATAGCCATCCCTAGAAAAATGAAAATAAAGAGATGGAATGCCTAAAAAAGAAAAAAAAGATGGTAATTTTCAATATGTAAACATGATTATGAATCTACTATTTTTATTGCATAAAAGAGGACTGTTCAGACAATGTATGTCTATTAGCATTCAAAATTTGACACACAACTACAATTGCCAAATGCAAATTATTCTAACAATCAAATCTAATTTGAATTATAGCATTGCGATCAAACCCTTTTAGTATTTGATGGTATAAATAGCACCTTTTTACAAGGGCAATGTTATTTATCACACCTTTGATTTTCACCCTAAAATCGTGTCAACATAACCTATTAATAACCATTGATTGTTAATCACGACATTTAACAGAAAAATAATTGTATTGATCAATCATCAAATGTATCATAATGTTGACGAAATTTCAATATGTATAGTTATGTCTTCAATTTTTATTGGTCGTTTCTCTAGTGCAATTGCCATTGCATGAAATTAGGCATTGTGCTCTTGCTATTACTCACCTTCTTAACCAGTACCCAATTCCAAATTTATTGATAAACACTGCCCATTTTAAGAGTTGCATATATTTATAAATTATAGTTGCACTAAAAAAATAAATAAATGAACAAGACAGAGGCCTCAATAAATAAACAAGACAAACTAAATAAAAAAAATAATTGGTTACTTAGCCTTATCAATTGTTTTAGAATAGGATTATGTTAAGAATCTCAAATAAATTATTAATTTTTTTATCAAACCTTTCATATGGGTGTGAGATCCACACAAATCACATGTCTATGAACTTCACACTCATGTGAGAAATTTGGTAAAAAAAATTAATAATTTATTTGAAATCTATAACATTTTTCTTTAGAGGAGTTTTCTTAACCATGTGCCACTTACACAAAAAGTGTAAGTGTAAGGTGTAAGTATAAGTATAAGGTGTAAGTGTAAGGTGTAAGGTGTAAGGTGTAAGTGGGTTGCACATGGTGTGCAACCTCAAAAAAGGTGTAAGTGTAAGGTTTAATTTTTTACAAAAGGTGTAAGTGTAAGGTATAAGGTGTAAGGTGTAAGTTGCACACCATAACCAAAACCTTCTTTAGAATATGAGACTAACTGATACGTCATAAATAAATTAGCTTCATATGATCTTTCTTGAAGATGAGAACCATTAAATTGATAAATTAATAACGCGTAATATAATATTCATCATTTCATATTATAATTTGATGATCACAACATTACTATCAAATATACATATATGGTATGATTTAGGTCTCGTTTGGTAAGTGGTTATTTTAGTTAAAAAATTATTAAAAAAATCAAAAAGCTAATAATTCATATTAAAAAGTAAAAAAAAAAATTTCTCTCTACTTTTTATACATCTTTTTATAAAAAAATCAAAAATTATTCTAAACATATTAATTTCTTTTACATTATATTTTAATCAAAAATTTAAAAAATTACGAGACCTTAATTCCACTGGTAGGCGTTGATAATGCTCTCCAATTCAAGCTCTCCAATTTGGAATTTAATGTACAGTCCAATGAATATTTATCCAATCCATAAGCCCAAGTTAAAGGAATCAAAATCTAGGGGCGCACATAATCAAACATGTTAAAAAAGTCATCTCTCTCTCTCTAAAAAGTAAAAATTCCAGCGCTTACAGCTCGTTGTATGGAGCGAATTCTTGAGTCTCCCAAATTAAGCCAATTGTTGATGCCCACATAGACTCTTCTTCTCTCTTCTTTTGCCGTCCGGATCCTCTAGAGTCATCCTCTAGAGTGATCCTCTAGAGTGGTCCCTCAGAGTGCAACACGTGTCCCATTAACGCATCCAACGGCTGAGATGATCCCTCACCAAAACGGCGTCGTTTTGGTGAGCCAGACCAAAAAAAAAAAAAAAAAAAGCCCACATAGACTCTTCTTCTCTCTCTTCTTTTGTTTTGTTTCTTCATTTTTAAACAACTTCTCTTCATTGTCTCTCTTCTTCTCCATCTTTGAGAGGTGGAGGATCACGGAGAACCTCAATCCCTTATTCACTATTTCAATGTTTAATCTTTATCAGGAATCTAATTGGCCCATTTTATTGATTCTTCATCGAGAAAAAAATAATCACGAAGACCTTGATTCCACAACCAATGTGATACCTAACCTAATCTTGGAAAGAAACCAGTGTTGTTGCATTTGAAGAAGAAATCAACAAGTTGGGACCAATCTCATTGGACCCATTTCAATGATTCTTCTCAAGAACAAGAAAATTCCCTGTTTCAAAGTCTAGCTAATTCCCTAACCATGGGTTTTGTTTTTTTGTGTGCCTAATTGATGAAATACATCCGCTATCGAATTTGGAAAAGGAATTCAGAGATTTGGGGCAAACCCAAATACGATTTGCCTTGATTTTGCTCAAGAGTCACATTGTTGTTGAATGGATTCGCGACTATTGACATTACCCTTTGTGAGTTTGGGGATTTTATTGAGCTTTTTCTCTCCGTTGGTGGAGTCACAGATGAATATGAATTCATCACAAGCTCAGACATCGCCGCCGCCGCCGCCGCCACCATTGTCTCCTCCTCCTCCTCCACCGTCCTCCACACCTCCTCCACCTCCACCCTCTGAATCATCTCCTCCCCCCTCATCTGGATCATCACCTTCTCCACCATCTGGATCATCTTCTCCTCTTCCACCTTCTGGATCATCACCTCCTCCACTATTAGGACTGTCACCTCCTCCACCATCTCCAACGTCGCCGCCACCACCACCACCACCATCTCCAATTTTATCGCCACCACCACCACCACCACCACCATCCTCGCTCCATCTCCCACCACCGCCCAAGAGTCCTCCTCGTTCAACGGCAAGATCACCTCCTCCGCCAAACAATGTAAGCAGCCATGAGAAAACAAGCCTGCCATCTAAGCAAAAGCTCAATTTGGGGAAGAAAGTAGGATTGATGTTTGTGGGCATTGTGGTGATCTTGCAGGTTGGTGTTGTGACATTCCTAGTAATCAAGAGACAACAACTATTGAACAACAATCATAGATACTAAAACAACATTGAATTTGAATGATAATGATCTTTCTCATTGGCATTGAATCAACTGATTTATGGGAGCGTATTACAATGAGGTGATGTAAAGTTGTTTTGAATTGACATTCTTTATTTATTAGCACATGAATTATGGATTCAATGGGCACGAAATATAACACAATAGATTATTATGGATTCATCAGAGTATTTGTCTCCATTGAGCTTCTTGCTGTTGTAAATGGGTGTAATTCTTGATTGAGATTTTTTTCCCCAGCAATTTGTTTGTTTGTTTTTCTATTAATTTTTTATTTTTTTATTTTGCAAATTATGTTTCATCTGCACGACTAAGGCATAGAAGTTAAAGCAGAAGAAAGCCTTGTTCATATTTTGTTGTGGTGTTGTTTTACTCTTTGTTGTTTCTTTTGGCTAACCTGTATTTCTCTATCAAAGTAATTGGAATTAATGGAAAGATCTTTGATTATAAAATATTTGTTTCTATGCGAGCAAGGGACTTATCGTCCTATTATTGCTAAGGATGAATTTAATGGTGTGAGAGTTATTTTTATTTTTTTATTTTTTATATATTTTTTTTTAAGTGCGAGAGATAGTATTTTACATGTCTACACTTCAAATTGTTTAACTTGTTGAATTCACCAAACAGCTAAATTTGGTAATGGCAGCGCGCTACTATGAATATGATAAAAGCCTATGAATCACATGTATGAGTATATGTAGGGATATATGTATGGGTTAGTGTCTCTACAGGTACGATATGATATGAGTGTGTCAATATAATAAAATATGCATATAAAAAAAGTTGGGTATGCGTTTGGTTTGGTTGGGTTCATTCATAAAAATATTTATTTTTAATTTAAAATAATGTAAAAATTAGTTATTCATCCCAAATATGTAAAAATTAGTTAAATGGTTTAGTAGTTAAGATACAACATACCATTCACATTTCAAGAAAAAAATAAGGCATAAACTAAAATTAAATTTTATATTAGCATACAATTCAAAGCTTAATTTAAAAAAAATAAATTAATTAAATTAAATTAAAAAAAGTCTAATGAAACTAGTTGGACTAACTTTGGGTATGTGTTTTGGATAGCTTGTACATTTGCACCTCTAGGATGCAACTATAAAACTAAGAAAAATATTATTTAGATATGTGTTTCATGTACCTATTACACATACAAAAGTACCATATAAAGTATCAATACCCAATCAGTACTCAGTACGGGGACGACATGTTTGACAAAGTATGCTTCGTGGATAAAAATTAGTAAAATCTCTAAGGTAAGAGATGTTTTTAGTGAGGAATGGCATGGGTTGTGAGCAGTGGCGGAGCCACAGTGGGTCTAGGGGGTCACATGCCCCTCCCTGGGTTTTGGAATAATTTTTTTTGCAAACATTGGTTTGGAATGATTTTTTTTTTTTTTTACAAACATAAAGAAAATATTTTAAATAAAAAAATTATAAAATATTATTTAGAGTGAAATATCAATGACATTTTTAAAATTATGAGCATAATAATGATTGTTTTTTTATTGAAAATAAAGATATTACGATAAGTCATATTATTATCTATGAAAATTTCAATATAATGACGATGTCTATCATTATTGATATACAATTATAATTAATCTCAATGAAGACATGAAATTTATTGAATTATTAGTTACATTTGATATGTGGGAGTTCATCATCTATGTGTTTCTTTACTATTGGTTAGTGATATCATACGTCAATGATGATATACTATTACTATTATATTGAATTTTTACTAAAATTTTGTATAAAAAATTACTTTATCATTATATAATTTATTTTAAAACTTATATTCATGACTTTTTTTTTTAATATTGTCCATGATATACAATTGTAAACAATATATATATATATATATATATGTATTTATCTTTCTTGAAGTCAATCGTAAAAATTTATGTGAAATATTTTTGCAAAAATTTTCAAGATTATAATTAATAAGTGTCCCCTTGATATAATTTATTGGCTCCGCCACTGGTTGTGAGAGTTGACTTCTTCTTTGTAAATATTTTGTAGCTCCTTTTGAAGTTGTGGATTCTATACCTTCCTTACGATCCAATTGAAAGCAGCAAGGGTACATCAATTAAATTGTTAATAGCTTGATTGTTAGAAGAAATTGATTTCTAATAGGTTTTGGTTTTAAATACAAGTATTTTTTTATTGGAAAAATAAAAATATAGTGATGTAAATAAAAGGGGAATACAAGATCACCAATAAATACATTAATAAGGAAACTATTGGAAGAAGGGAATAACGCTCAATAATTTCATTTCATCTAGGTTGACACCCGAAAGAAACGGGGGAAGGGAGTTGCCAAGAAGCCAATATGGGGAAGGGCAGAATATACAAGTCTATTTAGTAGTATGTTTGTGAGAACTGAGTTATGCATAGCATTCATGCATTCATCAAACTAGAAATTATCTTATTTTACTTGTATTATATATTTTATATGCTTGCTAGAAAAGAACTAGAAAGCCTGAGTAGCCTACAACATTTTTTTTTTTTTAGGTGAATAAGTCATAAATTATTTAGCCTAGAAGATTTTTTTTTGATTTTTTTTTTTTTTAATAATAATAATTTGACCAAGCAACTTTAATATAGGAAATTTAGAAAGTGTAAGAGTTAGGGAATTTATTTTGGACTTGAGAATTGAACACCTAGATGATTTAAAAAATCTTAAATGGGGAGCTTAATGACCTTAGTCTAATGAATAGAGCCTAATGAGTACTTAATTAGAAATAAAGCAGGATTAGTAAAAGATAAGTAAGATTAATTAGGCTAATAAGGATTAGAGACTAAGTATGATTAATTAGAGTTGAGCTTGGTTAATTAATAGAATAATTAGTGACTTGAGCTAATTACTTCTCATCAAACAAAGAAAGAAAGATGAAGAACAAAGGTGAGAAAGCTAGAGAAGAACAAGAACAAGAAGAAGGAGGAGAAAAACAAGAAAAAGAGGAGAAATCAAATAACTTCAAGATTTGAGCCAGGAAAATTAAGAAAAAATTATCAATACGTAAAAAACTCAACCCTCTACCTAGTATTGTTGCTTTAATCTAGATAGAAATCCATTTAAACTAAGATTTGGAAGGAATTTCTTTTTTCTTTTCTTTTTTTAATCAAGTCATAAAACAAATATAAAGAATTATACACATTTATAAGGGGCAAACCCTAGGTAACACACCAAACCTAACACCGCTCCTCAAGAAGGGACTAATACACAAAATACCAAATAATAACAAACCCCACCAAAGTAGGGTACAAGGTTAAAACACCCTAAAACAACTATAACAACCCTTGCACATTCCGCAAGGTCTTACAAAATAAGACATTTGCCTATGTATCAAATTCCCTAGTTGCACCGACTATCCAAGAGATAAATGGGAACTCAAGGAGGGTACATGGGCAAATTTTGAACTCATTTGTCTATATATCTTTTATATCCCCAAATTACCCCTACATTAAAGATAATAGACAGAAATTTAGGTAAGATGTATAGGCAGGTATACAAAGATGAAACCACAAAAACCACATAAATAGAACACCTACTTAAACGATGTCCTTCCTTCCCTCAGTCTCACGTGGAAGTGTTTTGGTTGGAAGGAAATTCAAATTTGATGCCCATGGTTTTGTAGCTGTCATCATTGAGTAAACCGTGGGTCTACTTCAATCATGTGTTGCTTACTCAATTGTTTAATAAAGGGATGGAGGAGCCGACAAGTGGTCTGGTGGATCTTCTTTGGGGCCCACGGTTGTTGTCTTCCTTGGGGTTTTTTGGGTTCATTTGTATACATGCTCGTGGACTTGTTTAGATGGGCAGCCGTCAATGGGCCTAATTTATTTTGGGTTCTTGTAGTTTTGGACTTTGAAATGGTTGTTTTGCTGGATTTTGATATGGACCCACATTTTGGTTGAGTCATTGTGCGATGGTATACTATTTCTAGCTAGCTTATTCATGATGATCGATCACGTGATCCTCATGTGACTCTATATGAGGTTGTTCTTGAGCTATTTCTGTCAGGGGTGATTTAGGGGTCACTACTATGGGGAATCGAGGTTCGATGACTAGCCGAGTTAGAGACTGGGATATGAATCTACAAGATTGTTTTGGTTACTTTTTGTTTTCATGTGATCCATCCTGATTTGGTCTTTTAGCCACTCCTGACACGGAGTGAGGGAGACCCTGTTATAGGAATTGAGGCTTTGTAATCAGCCAAGGAAGGGACTGGGGGATATGGTGTTTGATTTCATAGTAGGATCGACTTTAACTGTGACCGTTGCTGCAATGGCTATTGTTTTCGCTAGTCTCCTTGAGACCATTAATTATGGTAATAGACCGTACGAGTTTCATGTGACTCTATCAGGACTTTTCATGAGATATACATTTTCCTCCGTCATGGCTTTTGTGAGTGACTAAGGATGTCACCGCCATTAGGTGCGAGATGCTTATTTGACCCATATTTTATCCATGGTAAAGACTGGGAGCTTGTGAAGGATGTTAGTATAGTTGATTGGTCTTGGTGGTCACTTTAGCATGTTAAATTTTGTTTCGGTTGAGGTATTAGTTTGTATTTATGTGTTTGTGCGGTTTCATTTGTATACTTGCGCATATATCTTCTCCAAGTTTTCATCTATTATCTTTGATGGTAGGGATAACTTGGGGATATAAAAGGATATATGGGCAAATTTGGGCTATAGTTGTGATTTTCTACTGGTTCCCCCACATTTGCGGGATTTGTTATAGTTAGTTTTGTTTTGTTTTACACTTTCCATTCTTTCAAGTGGCAGAGTTAGATCGGTTGCATTACTTGGGGTATGCCCCTTGTAAATGTATGCATTCTTTGCATTTAATTTATGACTTACCTACCCAAAAAAGAAGCTAAAACAACCATCAAACCAATCAACAATGATAATCGCCCCAACATGCTCCTAGTCTCAATCACGGATGAAAACATGGCACTCAATAAGCATCTCACATCCTCATAACCGTGACTATCGTAGCCACTCAACCAAAACTATAATGAAGGGGAAAGTCTGCCACATGAAAGATCCCAATGGAGTCACATGAAGTTCGCACGATCAGTCACCAAAATCAATGGTCTTAAGGAGTATAACGAAAACCACTAGCCACTACAACAACAGTAACAGTCAAAGTCAACCCCGCCATGACAGCACACGCCACATCCCTCAGTCCCTTCCTTGGTTGATCACAAAAACACAATCCCCATGGCAGTGTCTCTTTCACTCCATGTCAATAGTGGCTTAAAGACCAATATAGGATGGGTCATGTGAAGATAAAGACAATTAGAGCAATCTAGTAGACCTCACTTCTCCCTGTCTCTAACTTGGCTCGTCAACGAACCACAATTCTCCATAGCAGTGACATCCCAATCACCTATGGCAGAGATTATAACAATCTGAATAACACCA